TATTAAACGTTTACGTATTAAAAGTAAACATTTATAAATATTATAAAAATATTTATATAAATATAAATATTTTTCTCTTTTCTTGAATTTTTCTTAAATTTTCCGCTTAATTGTTTCACACTCTACTTAATTCAATTAAAATTGTATTTCGGAAATTTGCTTACGAATGTTGGAACTCGAGAGCCTGAGATTTCTGCTTCTTGTCGTTCACCTTACCAACTACGCCACTGTCACTTTCACCGAAAGACACTTTATATTGTTTACTTATGGTATATCCATATACGAAAACAAATGATTTAATAAAAAGAGAAGAATAGATCTTTTTAAATGTAAAAAATATGTTTCAAAAATAAATATTAAATCAATACTAAAGTAATGTTTATTTAAATATTATTTTAAATGTTTGATTAATGTAATACAAATATTAAATCAATATATTAAAAAAACGTTTCTTTAAATATTATTTTAAACATTTTATTTAATGTCAAATAAATACGATAAATAAATATTATATAAATATTTTTCTTAAATCTTTATTTTAAATGTTTAATCAATAATATATACGTTGAATAAATATTAAATAAATATTATTTTTACAATAAACTGTACAATGTAATATCAATGAAAAATAAATATTTAAAAAACGTTTAAAAAACATTGTCTGCTAATTGGGTAGAAATATAATTGTCATAGAAAATAAATATTTTAAATGTTTTAAATTTATATATAAATATTTCAAATTTTTATACAGGAAAAATAATATTTAATAACCTTATAAACATATTCATATAAACGTTTATTTAATAATGAATTATCTTTCATAGTTTTTATATAATCATAATAAAGTTTACATACTTGTACACATCAGCTCATCAACACTTATAATATTCGTATTACCACTATTGGCATTTGCAGTATCACTTCTGACATTACTGGTGTCACTATTAGCATCACTGCTAATACTAGTAGTGTCACTATCAGCACTAATAGAGTGACTAACAGGGTCACTATTAGCACTAATAGTGATACTACTAGCACTGCTAGTGAAACTATTAGTGACACTATTACCACTAATAGTATTTTTTTGTAAGGGATATTTTATTCTTATATAAATAATAAATTACGCGTATAGTCAAGTCATTTATCGGTCGGTATGGAGAAATATTGTACTTACATGACTTCGAAAGCATCTTGCAGTCATTTCACTTTCAGTATGTCTCTGTTAGAGAATACTTCCGGTATGTGAGTTTTATGAGTAATGAGTGAGTTTTATGAGTTATAGTAATTCTCGATTGTGTTTTTCATCGGCTCTATATGATAATAACTGAGATATAGAAATAAAGCGAAC